TTTTTCTAAATGGCAACAATCAAATCAAATATACCAATAAAAACAACACAGCAAAATACTCTCTCAAAAGACCAAAAATACTCTCAATACAAAGAGAGCCAAATACTCTCTCTCTCTCTCTCTCTCTCTCTCTAAATAACCTCTAAAAAGCACCAAAAACAGGACTATCCATAACCCAACCCTTTGCTTTAACTTCCTCATGTTAGGTCAGGTCCCTTTTTTAAATCACTAAATACAACAAAAAGAAACATCTTTTGTAGCCTTTTTTAGGGTAATCTCCATCTCACTACATGGGTCGGTGTACATCTCTCTAGGATTTAGCATCTAAAATAGGACCCAAAAAAAAAAAAAAGCAACAAAAAGGAAAAATTATAGTGAGAGAAACATCCATTAAAAATCAAAGTAAACTTGTGGTAAGAGAAACATACATCAAAATTCCAAATTCCTTCAATATTTTTTGAAGAGCTCAGGCTCCCTGCAAATCAGTTAAAGAGAAAGACCTTGGTGATGTGAAATTCCTCAGCTTTCTTGTCTGAGGGTGAGAAGGCAAAGGAGGAAGGCAAACATCACTTCTTTCTTCCTCTTCTTCTTCTTCTTCTGATGCCTCCTCTAATTTTAAATCTTTTGGAGCAATATAAAGTGCTCTTCTCAGCACTGTGTTATTTTTGCAAGCAAGAAGAGTTCTCCTCCTCTTGTTAAATGAGTTCTCTGGCTTTGCAATATCCTTGGCAGTTGTAGCTTCTGATAAACTTGTAAAGGTAGAAAAGGATTTTGATTTTCCGGAGAAATAATTTGATAGTCCCCTCCTGTGAAAGGAATGCAGATTGGGTTAAAAAACTAGAATGCCAACTCCCCAACAAAAGAAATCCTCTCCCTCTCTTTATATCAATCTAATTCATTCATCGTGTTCTTTCTCAAAAGAATTTTGCCCTCTCTTTCATCAATCAATTGTATTCATAATCTCAGATATCATTATAGGAATTAGTATGCCGCAAACAAATGAGCTTATAGCTATAGTAAGAGCTGAGCTCCAATGGATGGAGCTGGACTATCTGGTCTCAAGTTTTGCCCAAAATGATCACATGTTCTCGGCCGCCAAAAATGACATCCTCACTTTCGAATTTTATGTGTGAACTTGAACTACATTTTCTATTTTGATCGCCAAGATCAAATTTTCATGTGAGAAAAATTTGGGGATCCAACTAATTTCAGCTTTTCAAAGCTACTTATGCTAGAGTAAAAGCCATAGGCTTATATAATTTCTCTCCTGTCTGTCTAAAACCCAGGACTAGCGATCTGAACTAGCGACTTTCAATTTGGGTTGTCCAGCCTATAGCATTCCAAAAGCCATGTAGCCCTTATTATCTCTTCCCAATCCACGTGTCGTTGTATTTTTTTTTTTTTCTTTTTTTTTGGGGTCGTGCATCGTCGATCCTTTTTTTTTTTGGGTAGTTTAGTAGAATTGAATATGCGATATAACATTGCTAATATCAACTAATAACCATTCAAGCCCAATCCTGATTCCTAAAATTAGAAGTCCCAATTCCCAAAACTAGAAGATTTTAAAGGTAAGAACACGACATGTAATGAAACTGTTATCTGAGAAAGAAAGAAAACCATCTAAATGCCAAATTTGATCATTTACAATCAAAATTTTCTGCATATTTTTTATATTTACTTTACCATATTTTCACCATTTACCATTTCTTTTTTAAATATGGTTCCTGAAAATTGTTTCTCAACTCCATCTAAATGCCAGCTCCATTTCCACAAAATTTATTTTCTACGACAACCATAACATCAAAAAGTAAAAAAAAAAAAAAGAAACAAAAATCATGGTTAATTAGCATATCATGGATTCCCAATTCTCATGCATATTCGAATAAAATTACAAAAAGCAAAGGAGAAGAAAAATCACCAAGTTCTAAGCAAAAAAAATCATGCAAATATTCAGACTTTTCTTTCTTTCTTTTTTTAAAAAAGAGATTACATTCAGATACCACTATAAAATAAATAGAAAATAAAAGAAGAAAAAACGGTAAACTCATTAAGATCTAGGAAAAAAAAAAAAAAAATTCCCGGAAATAGTCAGTTACTGGAGCATAAGGAGCTCGGAAACAATCAGAAGATCAGAGAACAAGAAGAAGAAATAATAAATCATGTAAATAATCAATAAAATCAATGAAGACAAAGATACATACTTGATAGGTAGAGATTCTTCTAGAGAATCCATGGAGCCAAGAGCCCCCTTGAACTTGCTCTGAACCTCGGCTTCACCATCGCTTTCGTCTATCGAAGTGCACGAGCCCTCACCTGGAGCTCCAATGGAGGAGCTCTCTGAAGTGGCAGGTGAAACCCTGGCACAGTCAAACCGCAACCCCTCCGGAACCTCCTCTAATGGAGCCTCTGATTCAGAAACCCTAGTTTTTGCAGAATCGAGGACCAGGGATCCGTCCGGGAAGTCATTTTTCTTCGGTCCCAAGCTTTCCATGGCCTTCTCCTTCAAAAATTGGGGCTTTGCTTCACCATTAACAAAGGCAGAGATACAAGAGAGGCCTCTGATCACTACTGCATCATTTTGCTTGTGTTTTTGCTGGTTTTTTGACCTGTATTGAGATCCATCGCTTTGGTATCCCACCATGGGGCCTGCAACCACCTCTCTGCTACCAAAAACCAGAGACATTCGCGACTCTCACTCTAAAATAAAGAGAGGAGTTTAAAACAGAGTTTTAGAGAGAAACCTGGGCAATATTCAGTGTATCCCAAGAAGGAGAATTTCATGCACAAATCTCTGTCTTATCCACAAAGACCAAACACCAAGACAAGGAGATTTTCTAGAGACAGAATATCTGAGGATGAAGATTTATCGCCTTGAATGCAAAATCGATCTAGAGAGAGAGAAAATAATGAGGAAACAAAATATATCTCTAAATGCAAAATAAAAGATAATATAGAGAGAGGAAATTATCAGAGAGACGAGAAAAAAATAAATCTCTCTTTAAGTCTAAATGAAAAGAAGATCATCAAGATTAAAAGCTGATAAATTGAGAGAGAAAATTAAGCATGAGTTAATGCGGAATGATCCAGAGAACGCAAGATGATATAAAGCGATAAAAATCAAGCAAAATGAAGGCAGAGAAACAAAATCCAGCGAATTAAGCGAGACAAAATCCAGGAAATCAAGAGAGACCCGGGTCACTGTGACGAAAGAGAGCGAAGGGAGAGAGACTTCACAAAGAGAGAGAAAAGATTGGTAGAGGAGAGAGAAAGATGACAGATATCTTCAACATAAAAGGAAATAAGATAAATTTAGAGAGAGAAAGGGTTTATATAAATAGAGAGAGAAAGTTCATTAAGGGAGAGAACCGATCAAACAGGTGACAGTTAAATAACTTATCCAGAGAGAGGCGGATCTTCAGTCATTCCTATCCACTGCCGCGAGAAGGTGCAGGGGAGGTCCATACAATTTTAAGATGGAGAGGAATAGAGAATAAGAGTTTTAGAGAGAGAAAGAGAGGTGAGTGGGTTTTTAGAGAGAGAAAGTGATGTTTTCCTCTCTCATCATCGCGGGCGCCATGTCCGCCATTCGAGAAGACACCATGTGACACGTTCCCGTAACTCCTCCTTACGTGGCCACAACAGCGATATCCTCAATACTTATCCTTTCTCTCATTTTTTTCTTTCTTTCTTTCCTGCACTTAATTTTTAAAATTGTTTATTTCTTACTTATTCCTCACCGATCTTGAAAAATAAACGAGTACGGCCTTTGGACAACTTTAACCAGGGGTTGTTTTACCTTTGGGTGCCAGTTTGTATAGAGTCCAGGCTCTAAACGATTAAAATAAAACGTACTATCGAAAAATGAAGTTTTAATACGGAAAATCTTTGGGAGAGCATTAAAATATATTTTATATTTAATTATAAAATTTCAAACTTTAAAAAAAAAAAATTGAACATATATATCAAAACTCGAAAATCTTAAAAATTGACGTTCCGAAAATAATACACTATTTTCAAAACATGAAATCTATTTTTTTCTCGTGTCCAAGGTGGATCAATTTGAAGATATTTGACCTCTTCTAATGAAAATTTTGAGGTGCACCCTATTATTTTGATTGTTTAGAACCTCGACTTTATATGAATTTTTTCTGTCTTTTTATTTCTCTCATATTCCTCATGCATCTTGAAAAAAAAATAATACGTATTTGTCCAACTTTTATAAGGGACTGTCTACAAAGAGACCATTTACCTTTCGTATAAGGAGGTCACAATAATTTTTCATTCTAAATTTATATTCATCAAAATAGACTGTCTTTTGAATTTTTCTCTTATTTTATCATAGAAATAGGGGCGGTATAATTTTCCTTTCTAAATTTATTCAAAAAAAAAAGAGAAAAAATAGATAGATGTATAGACAGGAGTTCAACTATTTTACTCTTAGGACCATCCAACCGTCCAATTTTGATCAAGTGAGCCACTGATTGTTTGATCTAGGTTTGAAACTTCATAGTATTTGATTTTTAATTTTTTATACAAATTATATGAATATAAAATTTAGTATATACCATCATGTCAATAAGGGTGCACCTAAAAAATACTTAAACAATATTTTTGATAAATAAAAGATCAAAATACCTTTAACTTTTAGGCCATTTTGTTCATTTTGTTTTAATGAGAATATTTTTTACTGGTATTAATAGAAATAAAATTCAAACAAGATAGGAAAATGACTTACTGTTTCTTTTTGAGGTAAGAATGTAACAGGATAGAAAAGTGGATATTACATGTAACAAGATATGAAAGTGTATATTACACTATAATATTACCTTTATATATACAATGATATAACCACCACAAGAATGGTCGGGGCACAATTATTTTTTCAAAGAGTTCACCTCTTTCTCTCTAAAATTTCTTCATAGTATCAGAGCAAAACATGGATTCCAATCTCAAATTTTCATATTATAAAAGTTGTTTGTCAATCCAAAAAAAGTTGTTTGTCAATCCAAAATAAGTCTCCCACTCTCTTTTCTTTATATGTTTCGTTTTGGAAAGTTCTTCATAGAAATTTCGTACAATTTTTTTTTTTTTTCTTTTTTTCTTTTCTCTATATGACCGGATTTCCTTCTTGCATACTTATTTGCATCCATCGTTTTGCATAACTTGGAATCCATCGTTTTGTATACTTATTTGAATCCGTCGTTTTGCATCATGCTTCTTAGCATAGTTCTTTGCATCCATCTTGCCTTTTGCATACCTTTTATTCCATCGTTTGGCATACCTTTGCATACTTTGAATCCATCGTTTTGCATACCATTGCATCCAGCTTGCATCAATCGTTTTGCACCATTCCAAATTGAGCTTATTTACCATTACTAATCATAAACTCTATCATTATTTTGTCTTCATGTCCCAAATAAAAAACTCATCCATATCATCAAAACCATTCATATCATCCACATCATATAAAGCCTTCTCTTACACATCGAAAAGCTCTTAAAACTCTCGCTTACCTTTCTCAGTTGATCTATCTATCTTTAAAATACTTCTTTATTCTAATGGATGCTTCATCCACACCAAACTAATATCTCTATCCCTCCACCTTAAATATTGGAAATTTTGTTTCTTTTAAATTGACATAGAACAATGGGAAACCCAAATACTATCACTGATTGAGAGTCAAGAAGTTTTTGGATTTATTAATGATGATTGCCCTACACCAAGTCAAAAGATTTCTTCTCCTGACCCAAACTACAAATTATGGCTAAAGTACGATCCACTTCTTAATGCCTAGATCACAGGGACACTGTCAGAAGAGTATCTCAGTCTTGTGGTTGGCCTTAAGACTTCTGCAGAAGTATAGAAAGTTATGAAGAATGCATATGCAAGTTATTCTCAAGTTAGGAAGTTCCAACTTACCCAGCTACTCTAACTCTGCAAGAAACGGAATTCGACTCTATTAGAATATCTATTTAGATTCAAGAGTATTTGTGATGATTTGGTTGCTATTGGCAAGCCTGTATCGAATGCTATTACTTTTGAAGCAATCCCTTCTGAAGCTAAATCCATTATGTTTGCCTTTGGGCCATCCGGGTTGGCATCGTGCATAAAAGAGAAAATTGAAGCCTTACATGTTAACTCAACTTGGGCGTTACTTCCGTGTCTTCCAGGTATTAATATTATTGGTTGTCATTTGGTGTATAAGACTAAATTAAAGTCTGATGGTAGTCTAGAGAGACTTAAAGTCAGACTAGTTGCTAAATGATATATTCAGGTTGTTGAAATTGATTTCTCTGAAAAATTCAGTCATGTTATTAAGCCTACTAGTATTCGCATTGTGCTCACCATATCAAACAACTTGATTGGAAAAATGCTTTCCTGCATGGCTTTTTTAAAGAACCTGAATTTATGGAACAACCTCCTAGTTTTATAAGCTTAAAATATCCTAATCATATTTGAAAATTAAAAAGAGCTTTATATAATCTCAAACAAGCACCACGACTGTGGTTTAATTGATGTAGTGCCTATTTATTATCATTGGGGTTTTATTGCAGCATAGTTGATTCATCTTTATTTGTTTCTCGCATTACTCAAGGCATTATTATCCTTCTCCTTTATGTTGATGATATTATTATTACTAGTAATAATTCAGATCTTCTAAAATGATTTATTTCACAACTTAGAAGGGAATTTGTAATAAAAGATCTTGGACCTCTTCATTAGCGTAGAGGTATCTTATTTTTCAGGTGGAATTTTTCTATCGCAAAGCTAATATGCTCGAGATCTTCTACATCGTGCTCAAATGTTCTGTGCTAAACCAATTTCCACACAAGTGGCAATGAAGAATAATATTCATGAGAATTCTAATCTATTTTCTGATCCATCTCTTTATCAGAGCATTGTTGGTGCACTCCAATACTTTACCATAACACGACTTGACCTTTCCCATAATATTAATACAATATGTCAATTTATGCATATCCCTACAATTACACATTTATAGGCAGTGAAGTGGATTATTAGTTGCCTCAGTGGTACACAGTTTTGTGGTATAAGAATCTTATCTGATAGTTCCCTTGAGTTATATGCCTGATGTAAGCTTGGCTGGGACCGTTCAACCATTGGTTTCTGCACCTATTTTGCTTCCAACTACATATCTTGGAGTGCTAATAAACTATCCATTATGACTCGTTCAAGTGCTAAAGCAGAATACTGGTCTATGGCATCCACGGTTGCATAATTGACATGGTATTCTTTTATTTGTCGGGATATTGGGGTGCCTCTTTCTCAGCCACCAACACTTTTTTATGACAATAGTAGTGCTCTCTACATGAGAGTTAATCCTGTTTTTCATATCCGGACAAAACACATTGAGTTAGACTATCATTTTGTGCGTGAAAAGGTTGCTCTTGGATTATTTATCACTCGATTTGTTTCTTCTCACAAAAAGTAGCAGATATCTTCACCAAGCCTTTGCCACAAGATGTTTTCGAGATCTTTACTTCAAACTCGGGCTTCAAATGCCTCCTCATCCGAATTTGAGGGGGAGTAATACAAACAAAATTCAAACAAGATAGGAAAGTGACTTACTATTTTGTTTTGAGATGAGAATGTAACAAGATAGGAAAAGTAGATGTTGCATGTAACAAGATAGAAAAATGTATATTACACTATTGTATTACTTTTATATATACCACAAGAATGGTGTGGGGCACAATTATTTTATCAAAGAGTTCCTCCCTCTAAAATTTATTCACTAGTTTAATAGAGGAGTGTACGTCCAAAATTTGGCATCAAATTATTTTATAGAAATATTATTAAAAGTAAAATAGCACAGAGGCGAGACATTGTGATTGGAGCCATCTCAGTCATCCATTCAAAATGAACAGTTGAATAGGGAGAAGTATATAAGTTTTATATAATATGGAAAATATACAAAGCTTGCTCTTCATTCTTTGGTTATGTTTTTCTTTTTAATTCGAAAATACTCATCAAAATATTCGCTATCCAATAACTGAACATGACTTGGATCTAAATATATGGTCTCACTAAGATTACTTAACAATAAAGTCTATTTTGAATTTTTGAATTTAAGCACTCATGAGCACTCTTACTATTTAAATCTAAACAATCTTATGGTTTTATTCTATCTATTTAGATAAGTTCTGGAATTGTATAGATATGAAATCCAATAGATGAAAATGTATTATGACATTTGAGAAATTTTATTGTAGACTTTGTGCTCAAACAATGATATATCTTTAACCACCCATTTTCAAATCTTAAGATCAATAATGATGGTAAGCTCCTTTATATCAAAAGTAAATAGTATCTTTCTATATATTTTAATAAGTTTTAACTATCCCTCGTGACATAAAAGTTGGAAAGACATGGTCTTACAATAAGAGTGTAATGACCCACCTTCATTGAGCAAGATAATAAGATTATTTGTTTTTGTACAAAGAATTCACAATTAGGCCCGGTTATCGGATGTACAATTGAGCAAATTGAGTAATTTTGGGTATGTTATTGACCATACTAAAATCTAAAAAAAAGATTGGTGTGATACACTTCAAGTTGTCAGATTTCATATGAACATGATTTTCACATTCATATGCTAAAATAAATAACCTTGT